ACACTGTTATAGTATAACTGCCAGCTGCTAGTTTCAATTGATGCTCTTCGATTGTCCTATTAGATGTGTATTAGACATATGACTACATCTGATTCACCATTCAAGGCTTGCACAGATCTCTAAGCTCTACTTTTTTGCATTCCTGCCGTACAGATGCTTTTCAGTAGTCTCTTCTGCAAGTTGAAAAATATCATTTTATTTAAACTCTTCCTTAAGCAAAAACTTTCCTGTGCCTTATTGTTTTTATTGCTTCTAGAGATTGCCTGATAGCTTGAACTTTACCTCAAAATATGCAGGATTCTGCCTTTTTTTCTTTCTGCCAACATTGCTAAATGATCAGATAAAGCTGTTCACTAATTCATTTATCAGCTACTTCAATGATACTTTTCTAGTACAGGCCAGGCTATACTGGTCACCCAAATTCTAGTAGAAATGCAGAACTCATCTCACTCTATCACAATTTACTTAAATTCAGTCTAAAAGGTTTTAAATATCAATTAACTATTGGCCTACAAAACTATAAAATAAATCCAGTCTTCTAAAACTGATATATCTTCTGAACCAAGACTACTTCTCTTCCTTGCTCGCTGTAATATTGAAAATGAAAACTTAGTTCATTATTTCCTCTCTGGTAAGTGTTTCTGTCTGTTTTCATTCACTTGTTATGCATGTGAGTGCAAAACCGATTAGATTAACTGCATATTATTCAAAAAAGCCAACTTTAAAATATTTACTATGGCATTAACCATAACTTATACTCTTCTCTCACATAAATAGAGAGCAATCAATACAACTCATTCTGTATTTAGTAAATTATCAAAAATGGAAGAATTAAGTACAAAGCTAAAGCCAACACCAATATACTCTTAAAAAATAACTAGAGACTTCTCTGTGTCTTGTTTATTTTTAGGATGTCTTCCTCTTTACCACTAGCTACGTACACTGCTACAATCAGAGTTTCTGCTTTTCATAGCTTTTCTTGCCACTGTGGTAAAAAGAAGTCAGTATAAAGGTTTTTTTTTTCTTTTCTTTTTCGCAACAGGATTGGGATGTTTCTTTGCTAGATATGGAATTTAAGAACAAAAGAACATGCTTTATCCTATGCTGAATATGAGGCGTGTAATTCAGTTGATTAAATAACGATTACGACTTCTCCAAACATTGGGATAAACTTAGGCTATTTTTCTCTTCGGACTTTTGCTTCCCAGCTATAAAATTATCAACTATGTTCAACCAAAAAGTGCTGGCTCAGGCTTAATCCAGTGCAATGACTACTGTAGCATCTTATCTTTGTAGTATAAGTTGGGTGAGAAATTAACAGAAATGCTTCTTTTCATATGCAAGGATTTCAAAATTAAAGTCCATTAGCATGTACTAACAATTTTTGTTAAGATTGTTTTTGTGACACAATCAACTTTTGTGATGAAGATACTGCAAACTACTGGTATTTTTCCAATATTTATCCCCTGCCCCCCACCCCTGCTATATTCAGACTTTGATAGCACAACCTTTAAAACTATACTTAACAGATTTTTAAAATTTGCTCTGGCAGACATCTAGATAACTTCAGATATATTTAATACATACAAATTCTTGCTAACAATTAAACAAATTCTGAAATCACAGGCATACCCACTCAAAAATGTATTAATCCCCAAAAAAGAAATGAGTGGAATTATATGCAATATACCATGGGATACAAGTCTTGTTAACAGAAAAACAAAATATCCTTGTTTTAGCCTATGATTTGGTTAGCATTTCAGAATTTTATAAACAGAAGGAAGAAAAAATAAATCAAACAAAAAGACGCTTGATGCATCTGCACACAGAGATGCACAAATTAAAAAGGTGCCAAAACCAAAAACTGAAAGGTAGGACAAAATCTCATATGCCTCCAACATGTGGCGAGTATTATGGTGCATTTCAATGGAACAATTTGGGAGTAATGAAGCGGCAATCTTCAAAGCAAATTTTATGGTATTGTAGTTACATTCTGATATAGAAGGAAGTATTGCATCTCAAGTAAAGCTAGCATCATATTTCTACCAGGAATATGGTTTTGAAAATGGTCTTCATTTTATCTCTATATTATCTCTTTATTACATCCATCTAGGTTTGCTATCTGCCTGTAACTGTTTGCTATCTGCCTGTAACTCTGTCTTGCATTCCTAAATGATGTGCAAATTTTGTCCAGGAAAGAGACAATGATTCTACTATATTTTGAAGGCAGCTAATTTATTTTCATGGTAGGTTAAGTGTAGGGCAGCCCAATTAAAGTGTTTCCTTTAAGAAAAAGTCTCATAGAAATCTAATTAGATTTCTACAGTTCTGTTACATTTAGAAGCCAAGTAGTTTTTAGACAAAACAAGCTTTTGCAGCTGAGGTTGTCATTTATTTAAAAGTGGTACTGGTCTCGCCCTTCCTGAAATCCAGATTTTTAAGTTGTTTGTTATACAACCCAAAGTAGCTAGTTTTTATATAACATTTTAAATTCAAAATCTTAGATCTTTTTTTGGCTATTCTTGCCACTGCTGATTTTAAGCTAATATATTTTTTATCATACATTTGGGTGGACACATCAATGGTAATTCTGTGTATCATAATTATGTATTGAACTTTCTGAACCACTTCTGATGAGAGAAAACGTAATCGAATATTATTGGATTTAACTTATAATTTAGGTATGTACATGACCTGTCTAGCTCAGAAACATTTGGGGCTAAGTTCCTGCAGCTCCTCCTGAGCTTTGAAGGGTAGGCCAATTTGTACGCCAAGTTTGAAAATACTGACCCACTGCCAATTCTTCATCTTTAAAATTTCCTTCAAAACAAAACAAATGGTTGTTTTTTTTTTTTTTTTTAACAACAATCTCTAAAAATGCAAAACAAATAGTGCATCCAATTAATTAGCGCTACTTGACTTTGGAAGACAGCTGTCCATTCCTGTCATACTAAGGTTTTTTGTTACCAATGACCACGATCACTCTTAGCTTTTAAACTTCCTTGGACAGCAGTTAGTCAATTGCTGGTCTCACACTTTGTAAAACAAACCCCTTAAAGGGTCATGACTTTATAATACATTTTCAGATGATGAAAATAGTTTTTCCATCATTTCAATTTAATTATTTCATGAAGCTCTTTTCAGCAGCATATTTTAAAACATTTTAGGATGATGAAAACAGTTCTTCTGTCACTCTAATTTAGTTATTACACAAGGTTCCTCATTTCAGCAGCTCATTGTCTTGATGGATCACCCTGATTTCAAATGTAAAGGACAATGAATTGTCCTTTCAAGATTAATGAAACTGTGAAAATAATTTCAAGTGAACTCTGAAGAACAGTCTATATAACCCAGAAAAAGTCAGCACCTTGAAGAAACAAAGGAACTGATGTTCTGCATTCTATTGGTATTGCTTTAAATTTATCAATGGGATTAAATATATTAACTGATCAAGTATTTGCACTATAATTCTATTTTTATATTCTAGGTTTTTGTTTATTAAACCATGAGAAATTCTCACCTCATCTTCTGTGCAGCAAAACATAGAAAACAGCAGTTTACTTGCACAAAAGATTTCCTGAATATATTAACAAACTTCTCAAAGTTTTGTGATGCAAATCTCAAGGCAGTGTTAAAGCCTCTATGTATCAGTTATAATCAATTTCTTTGAAGGGATCATTGTATGCCATTGGGAAGGCAGGAAATACATAAACTGAAAAGGAATGGATGCATGGTCTAGGTTTTCTCTTGAACATTAATTTCTAGTCTTCATAACTGTATGGAATGAAAATAGTAAATTATGAATCAGCAAAAAATATTTGCCCAAGCTGATCCTTGAGCATGATTATACTAATGTACTCAATAACTGTTTTACCTTACAGTTCTTAATCCATAACATCTTTAACAAGGCAGAAAGAAAATAAAAGATTCTCCATAAATGTTCACAGTTGTTGTTATTCTAAAATCAAATTAATCATCATATACACAACACAAAAATTTATGACTTTTAACAGTTTGAAAGCAGTGGCATCTGTAGAACAATATTCATAAGGTTTGCAACTTCAAAATTCTCTTTAACAATTTCAAAACTTTTCTTCACATATCTTGTGCTCTAGAAATGTGCTTTTATACCAATCTAAAATTTCTATTGAGACCAAAAGGAACAATGCAAATCTGAATGAGTTTTCTACTTTTGCCGATACATTTCAAGTATTTTGTTAAAACTATGTCGATTTGGAATATGCACTTGGATTTATATTTCACGCTGAAAGTGATTAATTCATTTTTTTTTTTTCCAACGTGACTACATTACCACCCATTTTGCCTTTCCAAACAGTGAGATGCAGTAAGCAAGCTTGTAATGGAATTGTTTTCTCTTTGTAAAAGATTCCTTTAAAAAAAAAATCAAGCAAATAATTAAAGGTTTTATATTCTATTTTTTTACTCAAACTAATAAAATCAGGGGAGTGTGGTGAGATCTAGCGGCATGTAGTTTGATGTCCTCAGCAGGATATCAAAAGTCAGAAGCAGTGCTGTAAATTCAATGTGGGGCTTCGACACTGTGCTAAGTGTGGCCTGAATCTTGGGGGCTTCCCTTTGATGCAAGTGCAGTATATTAACTGGAAAAGCATTCACTTTTATTTGTCTGTACTGTCTGCGACAGCAATATCGCCTCATTTAGGCTAGTTCAACATGAAAATGCACAGAGAAGCAATCTGTTACAAATTAGCACAGCTCCCCTTTCATTTTACTAGCTAGTAATTGGAAGGGGTTACAAAAGTGTAATTTATCAGATTATATGTGTTTATCTTTTTGTGGGGACAGCATGCCTTTGGTGAATTTTCCTACGCACCCTGAGGGAATAATCTTTCCTTGATGTCCATTAGATCTGAAAGAAAACAATGATGCCTGTGAAATATAGGAGTATAATTTGTTGGGTTTGAGAAGGAACAGTTTCCCAGACATCTAAAATGGTATTAATGACTTTATTAGAACCTTACCTTTCCTTGGAAATGCTTTTGCTCTCTCGTTTCCAAATGGTCTTGAAGTCACTGCAGAACTCGTACCACACCGTGAAAACATAGTTTGGTGTGATCTCCTTCTCACCAGGCTTTGGCTTTATCCCAAAGTAGCCTACTGTTTCTTCAAAGCTATGAGAGGGAAGAAAAAAAAAAAAAGGAAAAAGAAAAAAAACTGTCAACACATAAGCCCACTGGGGAAATAGTCTCCCTGTGGGCTGGTTTCTAACTCAGTAGTCAAGACTGGTAACTACCGTAACTTCCCCTTAACACTGAAAATCATAGCAGCAATTCTCGCCAAATGTAACTAACCTACCAACACCTAGCTCATTCCCAGGAGGAGAACTGTTGGTTACGGATGTGGGACATCACAGCCATATGCCACACGGGCAAATCATGGGCATTCAATTTTAATGAGAAAAACTCAATTTACTCCATTTCAAGCAACTATTATATCACTTTCTTTAATTTTATCCTACAACATCCTGTAAGAACTTATTTTATCACTTACCGTTACTGAAAGACTCCGAAAGAGTCACATGTTAAGTGAGGAAAAAATTATCAGACTTGGTTAAAGACAAGTCTTGAGCAGTTAGAAAGAATTCTGTGTAGCAGCAAACAAACCACCAAACCAAATCAAACCAAAAAACCCACAAAACCACAGATACAGTTTGAGAAGTTTTTTCTGAAAATAAGTCACCGTCTCAGGTGTGTCAAGGAGATAACAATTCAATTAATCTCATGAAAATACCTTGCTATTTATAACTTATAATTATAAATAATATATAATTTAATTTATAAAGCTTTTATTTTGTACTGTATCTGTAGCTACAGAATAGTTATACAGTTGAATATTTAAAAAATAGCCTTTTATTATAGATAATACTTTTCATAGCCTTTTTTCCTGATTGTGCACTTTTAACCTTTATGATATTGTTCTGTAGTGATAAACTGAAATGTTTCGTATGGCCGTAGGTATGTGAAAACTAAAAAATCTAAAAAACAAAATGTTTATTGTTTGTAAATGCTGAATCACTTTTCTCTGTAAGCAGATGCATTGATTTTGTAAATCAGAACACAAGAAGCATAAATCTTGAAAATAAGAGGTGTTTTAAAGAACTGCAATGAAGTCTCCAAATTATGCAACAGATGTTCCCTGAGCAAGAGATTCAGCTTAAGTATTTTTTTTCTAGCCTGGTATATGCATTTGCATAGTACACATTTTATGTTTTCATATGGAAATGCTCAGGTTAAGGAGAAGGATTTTGTTTTTAACTAAGATTCAAAGTTTTTGTTAGGCTTGAAGAACACAAAGTCACCAACCAAATCCACAGGATTTAACTTGGCAAGATAAAAGCATATATATGCACAAAGTAAAGCAACTCAGAATTTAGCTGGACCAGATAGTATGGTTCATTTCTTTGTGATACTTTAAAATTGGATAGAGCTTCTAGGACATCCTGGAGAATATCACCTATTTTTTGACATTTAAAATCATTTAAAGTAAGCAGTTAATAAAGTTATTGACATTTTCATAAATGTTAATCTTTTATTGCATATTATTTATGAGAGACATTTTAATTTTAAAAATATAATCAAGGAAGCATGTTGGGAGCATGTAACTATATTCCAAGTTAATTGGTGATTCATAGTAAGGGAATACATTCATGAAGATGTAATTACTACAAAACTAAATAGGAATAAGCCCATAACATTCCCACTTGAAGTGTTTTGGCTCTTTCCTGTAGAGACACCACAAGAAGAAAATACATAATAAAAAGCTAACATGGCTTTAAATACTATGTAAGCAATTCTGGGATTTCAAATCTTTAGAATAAGACAATGTCTGCAAACTGCAACACCATTGTGCAGTTAAAACAGTTTATGATTACTGGGCTGAGGTACAGTGATCTAAGTCCCATTACATTCATTTGAGCTAAATATTCCTCAGCCTTTCTTCCCTCAGCTTGACTAGGATAGCTCATCCAGGAATACTGGGATGAGGAAACTCTCTTCTCAGGTTTGCTTCATAAAGCTGCAGCCCTGGTAAAATATACTCTTCTTCCTTACTTAGCCATTCATCCCAAATTTCAGCATCGCTGGGACAGCTGTCTCTGAACGATTTGCAAAAGCAGCACATCTTTATAAGAGTAATTTAAAACACTGAACATTTAAGGTAGCAATCAAAACCACAAAGTCTGTATCAGATAAATAATTCCTTAAGTCAACTGCAAATTATCTGAAAACCAGCCAGCTGATCTGGATACATGAAATTAAGAGAAAAAACCTCAGTTCACCTGGTAGGCAGTAGTTCAGCCAATTAAGGCACCATTTAGAAACAGTCCACCTGAGACTTTAACCTCACAAAAATGTAACTTAGTTAACAATATTTATTAGTAATAGTAATTTTTGTCACTTAATCTGTCTTGAAGCCATCAGTTTATCTCACTTCTTCCCCTGGCATGCTGTTTCTGGCACGAGCAAAATAGATTCAGACCACTAAAGACTATCATTTAACTGTTTTCTTAGTGTACATTCAATAGCCTAAACAGCAAAAAGGTGCAATGAAAGTGGAATATAATTATACTATACTAAGCACTTAATGAATTATTGCAATATTCTTTAAGACTAGTATACTCAATTTGATGCTGACAGTGAAAAACATCAAAAATCAGCTTAAATTCTCCACTGAACCTTTTCCTGGAAGACTACATGAGATTTGTTCAGAAAGTGTGATATTTCTTCTTTGAAGTAGAGATGCCTTTTCCTGTTTAATATAATTCCTAACATCAATAACATCTTTGACTAAAATAAACTGTTAGAAAACACTACCAAAAAACTTACCATTTTTGTGCATTTTCCAAACTGCTCTCTTCTTTTTTATGTTCCTCTTTAGCTGCCAATGAAAAGCAATCCCAAGATATAAATTACTGCCTTAGTGTTTTAGAGATCATGCAGATTACATATTTATTGCATTCAAAATTTGATGGGTTATGTACCAAATAACTGATGTGACAAACATTTAATTGTTTTCAATTATTAATTCTTGTATATAGTACCTAAAAGAATAAAGTACTTAAAAGTACCTAAAAGTACTAATGAAGCGTTTCAGTTTGAAGGCATTTCAAACCTCTTACTACAATATGCAGTAGTAGACATTACTCAGAATGAAAATAATGAAATTTCAACTTTCAGTTTAGAAAGAGAACACTAACTGGTGTGTGTTTCTTTATTGTTGCAGATCAAAACTTACAAATTTAAACCTGTTTTTCAATGCAAATAATTGGAATTGCTAAACAGGTATCAAACATAGTTAACACCAACTGTTCTATATAGCTATCACATTTTGATCAGGAAGCTGGAAAGTGAAAACACATGTACCAAGTTTCAAGTGTACGGTACATACATGATTTTTTTTTGGAAATGCAGCCAAGTGTTTGAAAAATGGTTAGTGAATCTGAGTACCTCTGTTATTTAAATGCTCATAAGAACTATTTAAAAGGATATGTTTTTCAAAGGATGGGTATTCTGCACTTGTGAAAATGTTTCCCGAGCTGGATACTCAAGCACTATTGCTTTCAAAAGCATGAGTTACTTTTCAAAATGTTGGCCAGTTCTTTTTAATTCCAAATAAAAACTCAATTAAAAAAACTGCAGAATACCACATATGTAAAGAAGGTACTAATTCAGAAAAGTTATTCCCTTCCCACAGTGCAACAACATTGTCAGTGCAAATATTAATATAGTCAGAACTCAGATTCTGCGATGATACAGAGGTAAGGAACTTAAGGAATTGTATCTTTATGTTGCTCAGTCTACAGAAGTGCTTACACTGGTTGAACTACAGTTATAAACTTGAGTTCACAGACAAGACCACTGAGAAATCGATACGCACACAGAGGTTTGTACTAGTTAAAATCACTTAAAAACGGATGTATTTCAGAGCATCACTGTATGCTAACAAAACAAGAATTACTTTCAACTCATACTGGTCAAATGCACTGAAGGCACTTACTCTGATTATTTCAGTATGGAAAAGCAAAGAGCAATGTTGTGAGCCCTGGGCAAGGAAAACAATGAATTCTACACCACCAAATTCTCAACAGCAAATCTTGGTGGCAAGACAGCTACAATTGAAGTGGGGCAGCTTTGATTTATTGTTTTTGTTTCAGGCTCCTGAGAAATTGAGCTAGCTAAAGTTAATCTGTTACACTTAATTCAAACTATGGTAATGATTTCCTCAGCTCTTACATATTTATATCATTAGAAGTATAAAATGCCATTCAGAATTCTGATAGCTCATTATGATAAAGAATTAAATGAATACGGAAAATCAAAGACAGTCAAAAGTTGAACTAGTTATAAAAATTTACAGTTTATGATTACACTGATATCACTTTCTAGCTTTTAAGGAGATCAAAAACTCTTATGACAAAAATAGAAGTCCTTGATAAAACTGCACCTAAGCAGGAACATAGCAAGTAATATAGACAATATTACTTGCTATACAGCTCTATAGCTATGTGATAAGACTTGTCTTAGTGGTTTTTAATCTTGTAAGAAAAGAATAAAGGAAAGCAGAGGAAAGAAATTTTATTTTGTTTTAGAAAATGGAAAAATGTATGACCATTAGGAAGGGACATACAAGGTTTACATTAATAGAATAGTGTCTGTATGTGTCATGGAAACATAAAGGAAGAAGCAAGAAAATAAATGGCAACCTGGGTTCTCCATATTTTTAACTATAAACATCTTTACCCAATAACTACTTAAAAGCATTTCTGTGAAATTAAGATGTTGATATTTGCTAGGAGAACAAAAGAACAATTCCATGCAACAAATTACAGCTAAAAGGATTGAAAAATACTACGTAACACTTGTAACAAGAAACCAGAGCAGTTTACTAATTTGCCATATAATTTCTAAGCAATCTTCTCCTGAGTATTTATAACATTTCACATACTTGTAATATCCTGCTTTACACCCTGCATTTACTGATATTATCTATACTACCAGTAAAGATTTCCACAAAACACTTTTTACGCCATAATATTTTTCCGTTATAAATTTATATTACTTCCTCAAATGTTCTGTGACTTTAAAAGACTTATTTACTAGAAATGATGGGAAAGAGTAGCATTTTCTCAACTTTCAACTAATTCTGTCACTTAGAATAAATAGAAAAAAAAAATTTCCTCAATAGATTTCTCAATGAAGCCCAATAGTCAACGTATCAAGCCTCACCTTAATTGAGGAAATTACTGAGGGCAATTAAAATAAGTTGTATAAATGAAATAATATCTTTCTTTTTATTTCTCTGGCAACACCCTATATGGTCTCTCTCTCTCTCTTTTTTTTTTTTTTTGGTTTTTTTTTTTTGTTTTGGTTAAGGTGGGATCATGAAATTCTTTTCTCCTTAGACAGCACACTTGATTGCAGTATCTTCACTTTCCTTATGAACATATTAATAGACGTGTCAGATCTGCAGGAAGATCCACCCAGCCAAATAGCCTGCTTATTGCAGAGTCTAAAGCAGATTCTTCTTGAGCAAGGCAAGCATATCATCCTCTCCTCCAGTGTTGTCTCTATCTCCATAGCTTTGCAGTTCAGAGACTTCCTAACTCTTAATGGCACCAGATGCCATTTCTACATAATTCTCAACGGATACTTTTCCATGAATTGGTTCCGACTCTGCTTAAACCTTTGTAAGTCTTTTAGCTTCTATAAATTGCTCTGGTAATGATTTCTAATGATACATAGCATGAAGAGCAATCTCATTTTGTTTTGCAATAGCCTCCTGATCCTTTCATTGTCTGTTTCTCGCATTGAAAAAAAAGAGTACTGAAGTGAATAGTGACAATAGCTGTTGGATTTGTTGTAGTAGCAGGATGGTTTTGAGGTGAATTCCCTCACTATCTCCATTTACTGAGCTTTATAATAGTTTGTCTTGCAAGAAAATTTTGGTGCTTGCAAAGTAATTTCTGTTAAGAAGAAACTAAATGGGAAGCTCTACGCCAAGTCCTCGCAAACTCTTAAGAGGGACAAAAGGGCCAAAACAGATCTTGATTCTTCAAACAGCTTTTAATCAGACGAGGTGGAGACATTCACTTCACAAGATAAGACTAGAGTAAATCTAACCTAACATAAAATTCCTAAACTGCATCCATTAAAGATACAGGCGCCAGCCTCTCCTGCTTCAATCTCCAAAATTATTCTGTAATGTAGATGTAGATGAACAGAATAGACACTACATAAATACAGATTACGTAGAGATATTTTAAAATGACTTCCCATAGGCTATACTTTGTAAGGAGATATCCTCCGGTTTCTGAATCGTTAGGCTTGACAGCCATTGAAAATGACATGGAATTGTCAAATGCAAAATTACTGCCTAGTTTCATGTCCAAATGCAGTTTCTTAATATGCTCTACTATATGGATTTGTTTAAATCCATTTCCTGAACACAGTCTCAGATCCAACCCTAGGACATGAAGACAATCTTAACTAATATATATTTTTGATTACAGAAATGGAAGCCAGGATTGGTTGAGAATTTCTATGTCTATTTAAAGACAACATTTTTGAAAAGAAAGCAAGTATCCACCAAATATGAAGTCCCAATCTGCTGTAAGAATAGTCTTTTATAATAGCAAAAGTTACAGACATATCTACCCTGAAGTCTAATCTCTGGGAAATACTACACAGTCCAGTGCCTGAATCTAGATCAGGAATTAGAAAACCTGGAGGTCTTCCAAACCCACCTGGATGCCACCCTGTGCCACATGCTCTATGTGTGCCTGCTAGAGCAGGGGGCTTGGACTAGATGATCTCTAGAGGTCCCTTCTAACCTTAACCATTCTGTGATTCTGTGAAAAGCCATTATGTTGAAATAACTTTAAGAGTGTAAAGGCACTAGAGTGAAATGCTAAAAGACATTTTTACTTTACAAAATGTAAAGTAGCAGAAGATGTATGTAAATGTAAGTCCTAGCAGAGGATGAAAAATGATGTAAAACACTATTCTGAGAAAATACCACAAAATACCTATCTTTATAATGGTCTTATGTAAACAGAGCAGTTCCCAATCTCTTCAAGCAGCAGGCTACCATGAAATGGTTCCCCAAAGAATTAACTGAGGAAAAAAAACCAGAAGAGATTGAAAGATTGAGTCTTGGAAGAGACTGAAAGTAGGAGAAGGCCTAAAATCAAGATGGGCAAGCAGAATGATGATGTACTGTGCTCTAAGACAACAGGGAAAGAAAAATGGGGTCATGTAGCTGTACAAAAATCTGACATTCATCTAACTCTCAAATAAAAATACTTATCAGTGTAATTTCTTCCTGACATTAAACATATGAAAGCATTTAGGAAGGATGGTTCATACAAGTCTAATGATCTAGTTGTGTCCATTACAGCTGTTATGTTTTTCAGAATCTCATCACTTCAACGCTGAAAGATCTGATTTAAAACTCTGCTTTATAAACATTCTGGAGCACAGAGCATCTTGACATTTATGAGAATTCTTAGCAAACTAGCTGTTAGGGTGGAGAAATATGAACTACCAGTTAGACCAACACCTTCCAACCAACTGCTGTTAAGGCAAAAGCTCAAAGATGGCCTTTACGTTGGTGTACAGATTAGAGAGATGATGGAAACCAGTACAGCTGCCTTTATTTTTACCTGTACAAAATTCTGCACTCCTAGACACTACAGCATTATAAAGAAGAGCAGGATCAACAGCAGAACGGAATTTGGCCTCCCTTGATTTTGGCTTCAATAGATCTGCTACCATATAAACCTTCTGAATAGGCTTAATTTTTAAGAAATCCTTTGCTTAAGGCAACCATTAGAAGTCTGAGGAAAAGGACAGGTTTTACTCTTTTTTTACAAAGCAGTG